GCCAGGACTTCCAGCACTATGTTGAATAGAAGTGGAGATAGTGGGCAACCTTGTCTGGTTCCAGTTCTAAGTGTGAATGCTTTCAATTTTTCCCCATTCAGTATGATGTTGGCTGGGGTTTGTCATATATGGCTTGTATCATTTTTAGGTAAGCCCCGTCTATGCCTATTTGGTTAAGCATTCTTATCATAAAAGGGTGTTGAATTTTGTCAAATGCTTTTTCTGCATCTATTAAGAGAATCATATGGTTTTTGTTTTTCCTTCTGTTTATGTGGTGAATTATGTTTATAGATGTGTGTATGTTGAACCATCCCTGCATCTCTGGGATGAAGCCCACTTGGTCATGATGGATTATTTTCTTAATAAGCACCTGGATTCGGTTAGCTAGAATTTTGTTGAGAATTTTTGCATCTATATTCATAAGGGATATTGGTCTGTAGTTTTCCTTTTTTGTTGTGTCCTTTCCTGGTTTTGGTATCAAAACCAGGTTACGTTGGCTTCATAAAATGTGTTGGGGAGGAATCCATCCTTCTGAATGTTGTGGAATAATTTCTGAAGGATAGGCACCAGTTCTTCTTTGTAGGTGTGGTAAAATTTGGCTGTGAAACCATCTGGTCTGGGACTTTTCTTTTTTGGAATGTTTTTTATTGCTGTTTCAATTGCAGTCCTTGATATTGGTCTGTTCAGGAATTCTATTTCTTCCTGATTGAGCCTAGGGAGGCTGTGTGTTTCTAAAAATTTGTCCACTTCCTCCAACTTTTCCAGTTTGTGTGCATAAAGGTTTTTGTAACATTCATAAATTATGTCTTGAATCTCCGCGGCATCGGTTGTAACTTCTCCTTTTTTGTTCCTGATGGAGCTTATCACAGATATTTCTTTTCTGTTTTTCATTAGTTTAGCCAAAGGCATATCAATTTTGTTTATTTTTTCAAAGAACCAATTTTTTGTTTTATTGATCTTCTGTATAGTTTCCCTGTTGTCAATTTCATTTAGTTCTCATTTGATCTTATTAATTTCCCTTCTCCTGCTGGGTTTGGGGTTGGTCTGTTCTTCTTTTTCCAGTTCTTTGAGTCGATTCATTAGGTTGTCTGTTTGTGATCTTTTTGACTTTTGGATATAGGTATTTATGGAAATAAACTTTCCTCTCAGGACTGCTTTGGCTATGTCCCACAGATTTTGATAACTTGTGTCACCTTTGTCATTTAGTTTAAAGAATCTTTTGATTTCCATCTTTACTTCCTCATTTATGAAGGAATTGTTCAGCAGAAGGTTGTTTAATTTCCAAGACTTTGTGTAGAGA